ACGGGGGATTTAAATATCCCCCGCGGCAGTTGCATGAACATGGCTGCCGCTTTTTTCCAGCTCGGGGTTATGCAAGTAGGAATAAGGGATCTTCCGGAAAAGGGCTTATTTTCCGCAAGTTCACGTCTAGACTGGCGCCTTTCTCCGGCATAACCCGAGCCGGAAAAAAGCGGCAGCCATGTTCATGCAACTGCCGCGGGGGATATTTAAATCCCCCGTGGAATTTGCAATTCTGAAGTGTCTCATTAGCATCCCTTTTCCGGAAAGGGGTGCCAATGTAGACACAGCCCTGCTGAGTAGACATAGCCTCAGTGAGCACTCAGGGAGAGTATTTCAGAACAAGTGGCATTATTTTGAAATAACATAGTGCATGTCTACACAGCAAGCCATTGTTTTGAAATGAGGGCGAGATGGAAGACTTCTTACTCTGACTACTGCAACCCTCATTTCACAAGGAGTAAGGGAAGTCTTCGACTTCCTGCTGCGTAGACAGTGCCAAAAGCCAAATTAAGCTATTTTGATTTCAGCTACGTAATTGATGTAGCAGAAGTTATGTATCTTAATTCGACTTTTGCCTGCTGTGTAGACGTGCCCTGAGGCATATAGAAGGGGCAGGCTCTGTGTAGGCATTATGAGAATGCTGAATTGTAGCCTAGCCCTTGCTGCATCTTTAATTAGAGGGTTTCTGAGCTGTGCCCCAAAGCTGCGTTACTCCTGAGAGAGGTATGGCCCCCTCTCTTGACAGCTGAGGAAACCAAGCCGCTGAGATTAAATAAGTTGCCCACTTCATAGAGAGTCAGTGGCAGAGCTAGCAATGAACCTGTGAGTCCTGACTCTGTGTTCTCCTTTGCTATGTAGACTTCCCTGGCTGTGGGAGAGCTGCCTGTAGCTTAGTTTGTACTGCTAGCCTTACAGCAAAGGGGTAATCCGCTCCTCCACCCTTTTAACTGCGAGAGCCTGAAGTGCTAGGCTATGAATAAACAGCTCCGTGTAGGTGCACTGTGACCAGCCTCCTTACCCTGGCCTCCCTCCTGCTGACTTCTTGCTACCTGCCTCCCTGTGCTTGGGCAGGAGAAGTCAGGAAATGCTATTTTCCCCATAAACAAGTTTTCAGTGTGTCTCCACCCATTCCCCTCCATTTAGTCATCCCAGATGCTCCTGAAAAGCAGTTTCCATTCCATGGCGTGGGCATGTGACATTTGCTTGCCTCTCAAAGCCCATACAGTTGTGGAATGTTCTTTCTGCCCTGCCCAGGTGCTGGAATAAAGCAAGATGGCAGAACGTGCTCTCCAGGGCCACTTAGCAATGCACAGCAGTTTGTGCAGTTCCTAAGTTCGACGCAAACAGAATGTCTCCATTTCTTCGTCTGCTGATCTGACATGGCACATTTTAATTCTAAAAGCACGTGGTGCCTGATTCTCGAACGCTGTCAGCACCATGAACTAATAATAGGATAGGATCTAGGGTTTTTGTTTGTACAGCACCTGGCACACTGGGGCCTGGTCTGTGATTGGAGATTCTGTATGCTCAAAGTCAGACCTTCGGTAGAGATGGGCTCTCCTTTTTGCTTAGATTAAAAAGGAGAGGAAAACCCTGACACACATTTGCCCTCATTTGTAAAACAACATTCTGAGGGCATGGGGGTTGCACTTATCAAAACGGGGTCCCTCTTGGTCAGGAGCTCTGGCTGCTATCATGATAGAATAAATCTCTGAACATGTTTATAACACTCTTTGGATATTGGTAATATGGCTGTAAATTCTGTGAGACTGTTACAAAGAGAAAGTCCCCACAGAAGATGATAATCCCTGCATTAAGTATCATTCATGTGCTTTTTTAGAACAAATACGGTACCTGTGTGGCAAATGAGCACCATCCACTGTTTGAGTCAAACTCCTGGGCACTGGATTAATTAGGTGTTTTTTGGTGATCTGTTATCTTGAGAAATCTTGTCCTTAGTTGCCTCCTGCTGCCTGGAAACCTCTTGGCTTAAATGCATTGTGCTATGGCAAACCTACTTCACCAGATATTTGGAAAAGCTTCTGTGTTCTTTCCAATACAACTTCTTGCATGTGCATACAAGCACATGGGCACTTGGTTAATTGCTGTACATTAGGCCCACAGAGATGAGTTTCGGTGCTTTGTAGTTTTGTTGAGCCATGTTGTTGTACTGCCAAGAAACTTCTTGGCATAAATCAGCTATGATGGTGCAACATTAGTGGCATAATTTTGGGGGGAAAGTTTCTCTGCTCTTTCCAAATACTGCCTATTACATGTGCATACACAGGGCTATCTTCTGCAGTTAGATGTGAGAGATTTGTAAGCACTTTTTGTTATTTTTGTGCAGTACCTTACACAATAGGCTTCTGGCTCATGACTGGGGCTTCTGGGTGCTACCACATCACCAGTAAATGAATGCAGCTCCCACTGAAGTCCACCCATTAAACTGATGTTAATGCAAGATGCAGGTAGATATCGGAGGCCAAAATTTAGACTGTGTGTGTTGTACCGTACTATGACAGAGCAGCAAAAGTTTCTGTTTTTCTGGAATCTGGCAGAGGCTGTACAGTCTGATTCTGAATACGCCATGGGAAAGAAAGCTAGTCTCTCTGTTCCTGCATCCCGGCTCCCCCCCCCAATGATTTTCCATTCAGTGATCCCTGTTCTGTTTTCTGAAAGACCAGTTGACAACCTGGATAAGTACCCAGGCTTTAATGGCAGAGAAGATCACCCACGGATGCAAACCACATAGTACTCCTCCTGTACTGTGAGCTGTGAGCGCAGGAACACTAAACCGCATGACAGTTACTGGATTGCCTTTCCCACAGATGGCTTTTCCTGGCTTGTGTGTGTGCATGCTCTAAATGACAGGCAGGTCTTTCACTGTGTATGTGAAACCAGTTCGCAACTGGAATGGCTTCAGGCAGGACTTGAATTTTTCTCTGCCCTTTGTTTGTTGTGTGCGGCTGAGATCTGAGATGGGCTGGTGAAATTTGAGTTGATCCGGGAGGAGTTGATTTTATGCCCGTCTTTCTTCTCCCTATTTTCAAATGGTTTAGCATCAGGGCCGGCCCACAACATTTTGGCACCTGAGGCGGGGAGCTCAAATGATGCCCCCATAGCTCCTTGCTTGGGCCAAAACTTTGAAAGGTCTCAATTCTGCCTTCTTCTTGTTCTACTCCTCTGATGGTACTGCAGAGAGAATACATATGCACCAGCAGCAGACACAATTTTCTACACTCTGGCTCCTAGTGGTGCCCTTCCATGGTCTGGCACCTGAGGCGGCCGCCTCAGTTCTCCTCATGGTAAGGCCAACCCGGTTTAGCAGACTCGTACAACCTTGAGTCAAGAAGGCTTGTTTCTTGGATCCCATACATTTCCCCCAGAAGCCGGACAGGACGAGCTACTGGTTATGAAGCCCTTATGCACTCACTCTTGGCTTTTTAGGAGATTTGGAGGAGGATGATCTCACTTAGGAATGTAAAGATCTCACTAACATGGGAAGAAAAATGTTCAGACCTCTCTGTTGCCAAACAAGAGCGAAAACTGATTATTTGGGGAGGTGACTGAAGATAAAGCACAAGCACAAACTAGCAGATATGGTGGGTGTTAGAAATAGGGTTGTAAAAGCTTAACCGGTTAACTGGTAATCCTCACTCTTGACGGGTGAGGCTTACTGGTTCCGGTTAACCGATAGAGGCTAGGGATGTGAAGGTCTAGTTAACTATCTGATAAGCATTTGCTAGTCATTTCCCCCTCCTTCCTCCACTTGCTGCTTTTATCAGATAGGGGCAGCAAGGGGGGGGGAGAAGAAGAGAGTACTTCAAAGTGGCAGCATCGCACGGAGCCCGGAGTCAGCTGCTCCATGCGGCACTGCTGCTTGGAATGCCATGGGGAGCCTGGCGTCAGACTCCTTGCAGCATTTCAAAGCGGCAGCGCTGCGTGGAGCCTGGGATCAGCTGATGACTCCACAGCTGACCCTGGGCTCTGTGCAGCACTGCTGTTTTGAAATTCCTCCATGGTGTTTCAAAGCGGCAGCACCGCCCGGAACCTGGGGTCAGTGGGGGAGTCCCGAGCTGACCCCGAGCCTCAGTGCTTTCGCCTTTGAAGTGTAGCAACAGCCCTCGGGCCTTCGTTGCATTGACTGTTCGATTAGTCAATTACCCGATACTTAACATCCTTAATAGAGGCTGGAGCAGCTCTCTGTCTGCTCCAGGCAGGAGGCTGCTCCAGCCCTACAAGACCCAGCAAAGCAGCCCCTGTCCGTGGTGGGCCCAGCCCACCCTGCTCCCTCCAGCTCCTCCCAGTGCACGTTACACTCTGGCTCTCAGAAGCAAGAGCCTGCAGCCCTTGCCAGAGAGGCTTTGCAGCGGGCTCTGCAGTGTAAAGCTTGTGGTTACATTTTTAACCAAACTTTTAACATCTCTAGTCACTGAGCATGCTGTTGGTCACTCCGCAAATTTAATTTTGCTAGCAGATACAAGTAGTGTGAATACAAGAAACAGTTTCCCTGGCCCTGTAGCTGGCCCTGTGCAATCGTTCAGTCTAAAGCGCTTTGCGGCATGAAGTACAGCCTCTGTTTCCAAAGAATATGGTTTCAGAACACCCTGGATGCAGAGATGGCAGGAGGGGCATTGTAGAGAAATGTTTTTTTATTGAAACCCAGTTGCTCCCTTAAATGTGACAATGTGGGGAGCCAAATGATTTTCCTGTTGAATTTCTCATTCATTTCCATCCTCCCAGCTGAATTAGAGATTGAGTGCTCTCTATTGCTTTGGTGGTTGGGGATAGGAGGTAAATTTCAGGTCTGGAAAAATAAGCTCTACATAGTTGAACTAGACACATTGTGGATTTCAGAATTTCGTGTCAGACTTGCATTTCAAAGTCTCCTTTTCTCTTTGCCCCAAGTTGTCTTGTGCAAAAGAATTTCTGCATCCAGTTTCACTGGCACTTTTAAACAAACAATTGTTGTTGTTTCCCTTTCCTTTTCTCTTTCTCAGCTGGTTAAAACCCACAATCTGCTAACGAGCAGGAATTACATTTTTGGCTACCACCCGCATGGAATCATGGGCTTGGGTGCGTTCTGCAACTTCAGCACGGAAGCCACCGGTGTTGGTCAGAAGTTTCCTGGTATCAGACCGTACCTTGCCACGCTAGCTGGGAACTTCAGAATGCCTATTTTGAGGGACTACTTAATGTCCGGCGGTAAGAGCAAAAGATCTTACTCATCTTCCTCTCTCCCTCTCCCCACCTCACGTGCCTCCCCATTCTTTCTTCTGGTCTCCAACTCAGTGCCTAAAAAAACCGTTTGAACAGCTCTTAGAAATCCTCCCAGCCCCTCCAGGGCTGCAGCTAGTCTTGTCCAAAGCCTGAAGTTCAAATCAGTTTATTTCCAGAATCTCCTGTTCTTTAGCTTGTTCTTTTCTAGCTTGCTGGGTGGCTGAGACGGAGGGTTATTTAGTACAAAGACAAAGGTGCACTGAAGCCCATATCTTGCCATAGTTCTAAGCAATCCAGCAGTAGCGCTGGTAGATGTGGGCTAAAGGATACAAGAAGTTTTTTCCATCTTCTAAAATCTATTGAGCAGTTGGAGGTGGTGGGAAAGAACAAGTCAGATTGGTCTAGCAAACATCTTCTCTTTAGAGCTTGATATTTTAATGCTGTGGTTAACTTTGCTTCTCAATCCTGTTATACTTACAGCAATGAACCAAAAAGTTTATAGAAGATCGTTAGTAGTCCCAAGCCTTCCCCCTTAAGACATCAAATCTGACAGGAAAAGAATCTTAGGGTAGATCTATACCACAAATAAACCTCTCCTGCTGACAGAAAACTGAGTTGGGGCAGGGGAAGGGAGAGGACTAAGATCAGTATTACCATATTGCTATGAGTATCCGTCCACACCTGGAAAGCAGGATAAGGGGTGCCCTGAAGCTAGGGAGGGTTGTTATGCTGTAATAAGTGTGTGATGCGGACCTGGTCTTAGGAAGGAAACTTGTTGGCTCTGGAATGTCTCAGATGTGATCTGTGTGGCAGTAGGCTTGGAGATGTCTTCATTAAAAGGAAGCTCAGCACTGCAGCAATGGATCTTCTGGAATTCAATTTAGCAGGTCTAGTAAAGACCTGCTAAATTGAACTCAGAGGGTGCCCGCATTGGCACCAGTACTCCTGCTCCTCACAAGGAGCAAGGGAAGCCAACGGGAGCCTCCTGCTATGGAGACTGTGCAGAAACTTGAATTAAGGTACATCAACTCTAGCTATGTAATTAACACAGCTGGAGTTGCGTGTTTTAATTCGACTTTCCCCTTTAGTGTAGAGCTGGCCTTAGGGATTGACTATATGCACATTTAGTTTGAAGCAATGTGGTGATGTGCGTGAATAGTCTACTCACATGCATTTATCTAGTCCTTTTTCAAAGGGGACTAGCACCAAGCATTTTACCGGATTGTCAACATGCATTGGCACAGTGCACACAAACAATCTATGGCAGGCACAGTGGGGAAGAGTCACTCCACAGCTTTCTACCAAGGAGGGATAGTCTCTTGCTAACCTGCATGTCAGAAGCACTAATTGGCTACCTATCACAGATAAAGACAAAGTAATGGTATTGTTTCAATTTGCAGCTGTTCATAAAGTTTTTATTCCCCTTCAAAAGGGAGCTGTCTCTCTGTTGATGGGGCAGGAGGAATAAACCTACGAAACTGATCTTGTTATATTGCAGTAATAGGAGGATGGTCAGCCTATTTAGGATCACTCAGATGGTCTGTAACAGCTGGAATTGAATATGTGCAGTAACTTGCCCTGGAGGTTCTGAGGAGATACACTCTACAAGTTGGGGATTATGTGAAGCTTCATGTTTTCAAAACCAGATGTGGTTCTCTTTACCCACTCACCTTGTATACTACAAATGGCAATCCTCTGTAATTCCTAGCCAGATTTTTTTTCTCTCCTGGAATACTCAGGTATCTGTCCTGTGAACCGTGACAGCATTGATTACATCTTGTCAAAGAATGGCAGAGGAAATGCAATTGTCATTGTTGTGGGAGGAGCTGCAGAATCCTTGAACTGCACACCAGGGAAGAACTCAGTGACTCTGAAGAATAGAAAGGGATTTGTGAAGCTGGCTCTACGACACGGGTAAAAGAGAAATCTGCTAAATGCATAACGCTTTAATTTCCAGCACATCTATAGGAGTAGATATATAACGGCTGAAGTGATGACTCCTTGGATTCCCTCTGCCCTGCTTTTATATTTGCACTCTTCCCATATTAAGTATGTGTGATTCCAGGATTTCATGCATAAGAACTTATTGTTGCCTTTCCCTTTGGGACTGTGTGTACATGGAGCAGTTTGCAATGGAAGGAATTAGCCTAAAATAGTGGAGATATTTCACATGCAGTGTCATCTTCCTTTGTTCTTGCATTGATATCAAACTGCTTTTGCAGTATCCCCAGTTGCCACTGTGCCATCTGCACAAATGCAGTAAGGCTTTGTTGCTATTTCAAAGCCTATATTGTCCTTCTACTTGGTTTCAGTTCCACACCATTGCTCTGCCCAACCTTGAAATATGAACCAGATTAACTTTTTGTGTGTGTGCATCGATATGAAACCGGCATTTCAGGGGCTTGCTTCATCCCTTCCCATGCCATTCTGTTTTGTGTAAGTAAAATATTTAGCATGTAAGAAAGCAAACCCAAATTAGAAAAAAGGTGAGCTGTTGACAAATCAGTTTAGCTGTTTGTTTGTTCTATTATGGTAACATCTAGTGGCCTTAGCAGAGATCATTGCACTAGACACTGTACATATATTTAGGCAGGCCCAACCCTGAGGATCTTGCAATTTGAAGAGACAAGACAGAGTGGGAGAAAAATGATGGAAATCCTTCCCTATAGATGAGAAACAAAAAGATTCCATGGGCCAATTATTTATTCTGTCAGGGTGCGTCTACACAGCAGAGCTTAACTCGAAATAAGCTGCGCAACTTGAGCTTCGTCAATTAAGTAGCTTATTTTGAAATAGCTTATTTCGAAATTGGGAGTGGATACACAGCACTTATTTCAAAATAGAGCACTCTTCCTCTGACTTCCCTTATTCCTTATACAATGAGGGCTACAGGCGTCGGAGTAAGAAGTCCTCCATCTTGACAGTATTTCAAAATAACTGCCTGCTGTGTAGATGTGGACTAAGTTATTTCAGAATAATGCTAGTTATTTCAAAATAATGTTGTTGTGTAGACATACCCTCATAGAGCCAGGAATCGAACCCAGATCTCCTCAGTGTGTCTAATGTCTTTCTCACAACACCGTCTTTCCTCCCTTATTTAGACTTTGTCTTCTGATTTAGACAGAGGCACCCTAGTGGAGCATATTGCATCTTGCAAACCACAATAACACCGAGCAATAGTGAAGGCTGTTAGGTATAATGCAGGCAAAGCTGCAGTGAATACATCATGCAGAAAATCCAGGGGAGCCTCTTCTGCTGCTCTTGTTTGTTCAGGCACAGGTCTGTTGGTGCTGAGCCTAGAAGCTGCTTGCCAGCCTATGGAAGGTTTTGACCCACGTCTGGTTTCTCTCTTTGCAGAGCAGATTTGGTCCCGGTGTATTCGTTTGGTGAGAACGAGGTTTTCAAGCAGGTGATCTTCGAGGAAGGCTCGTGGGGGAGATGGGTTCAAAAGACGTTTCAGAAACACATTGGTTTTGCTCCGTGCATATTCCATGGCCGTGGCCTTTTCTCCTCCAACACCTGGGGATTGCTACCTTATTCCAAGCCCATCACTACTGTTGGTAAGCATTGGCTTTGAATATCTACATGACGTACAGTACTGCGCTGTTCTGTTGGACTGGAGAAGAGGCTGGTTTAGTAGCCCGTGCTGAGGTTTGGATAACTAGACTCCCTGGAGCCAAAGGTTCAGATTCAAGTTGGGTCAGCTTAGCCCTTTATCCTTCTAAGTTTCACGTAGTTCCCCTGTTGGCCTAGCAGAAGTTGGGACACTGGTTAACTCTCTGGAATCCAGATCTGTGTCTGGATCCTGCTCCAAACTTATTGTTCTGACACCTCCCAAAACACTGAGCTTTGTAAGAGGGGAAAAACAGCCCAGTTCTTTCCTGTGTTTCTTCTACTTCAGCATGCAGGCCAGGTCTCTAAAAACTCAGTTCTAAAAACTACAGCCATTACTTGGACCTATAAAAATTAAGAGTCTTGAAGTCAGCTAATGGATCCACAGTGAATGAACCAGCCATTGTCTAAGCTCTGTAGATAGTCCAAAGTTATCATTGTTTCCATACTCCATCTCCCTTCTCTCCGTGTGGAGCCTGTGTGAATATCCTGTTTACAGTATGGTTCAGTAGCATCTCTTCTTGTGACCCGGTTAAGAACAACACATGAACCAATAACCAGCTCAGCAGAGTGCAGCTTAATGTACCTGGCAAGGACCACCCTGAGACAGCTCAGTGGGCTAGATTCTACCTTTCAGTACTTGAGTAATGCACAAGTGTCACTGCATCAGGAGGCATTGTGACATAGGGTACGTCTAGACTACAGGCTTTTGTCGACAGAAGTTGTGTCGACAGATACTGTCGACAAAGCTTCTGTCGACAAAGTGCGTCTAGACTACATTCAGTTCTGTCGACAAAGCAAGCTGCTTTGTCGACAGAACCCTGTAGTCTAGACACAACCCTAGATGCAATAACAGCTTCTGTCGACAGAACTCTGTCGACAGAAGGCGTTATGCCTCGTAAAATGAGGTTTACCAGCGTGGACAAAACTGCTGAGTTCTGTCGACGTTATGTCGACAGAACTCAGCGGTAGTGTAGGCGCAGGTATAGTTTTGTCGACAAAAGTCCACTTTTGTCGACAAAACTCTGTAGTCTAGACACACCCATAGTGAGATGTAGAGGTGCAATTCCTTCTCCTTGCTCTTGGGGGGTAGTAAGCTTCGGCTGATCTATAGCAGCAGAAATTACTGCACCACCAATTTGAAATTTGCACTGATTCTGCTACAACCGCTGTAATCTAATGAAGAGACACTGCAGCATAGGTCCAGCTACACAGTGCAAAACCCCAGCATAGACAGGACTCCAGACAGTGCAGAAATCACCAGCCCTCTATAGGGAGAAAAATCGTCTAACACTCTGGATTGCTTTTGTTTCCATTTCAGTTGGGGAGCCCATCACAGTTCCTAAAATTGACCATCCGAGCCAGAGGGAGATAGACCTTTATCACAACATGTATGTGAGCTCTCTGATTAAACTCTTTGACAAGTACAAGACTAAGTTTGGCCTGCCAGAGACTGAGGTATTGGACGTCAACTGAAAGAGCTACATTTGGCTTGAAGGCAACCTGCTCGTAATCTGAGTTGGAGATGGTATCTCTGGAAGTCCACATGGTTTTTATTCTATAAATCTGAAAGCATGTGTGGATGGGTGTCTGTCTTTAAAAGGAAAAAATGTTGTTAAACTAGTCAAAAGTTAGATCTTTTTTAAAAAAATAAATCAATCTTGCTCCGGATACAAACATTAGAAATTGCTCTTGCTATCAAGAGGAACACTACAATTCCTAGATAGCTCTGGGAATGGGGACAGGGAAAATGTGATTCCCACTGTAATCTATATAATATTTCTGATTGCTGATGATGGACTTCAGATATTCCCGCTGCTACCATATTTTACCAGCAGTGGCACAGATTCTGCTGGCAGAGTAAGGTCCATTCATTTGGCAACCCAAAGAAAGCACTTATATGATTTGATAGTATTGTAGGTGTGTTGCACAGGAATTGCTTTTTAGATGTAGTTACATAGCACAAGGGTTCGGAAAAGCCCCGTCTGAAAGCACAAACAATGCAATTTGGTGGTTGGGCCTCATTTTATAGCTTCTGCTATGCATGGGGTTGGAAACCAAAAGAACTTGTAACTCTAATGGACCATGTTATTTCCATACAGTATATTGTATATTTAGCTCCCTGATTTTTTTTCTTTTTATTTTGAATGTCTTTACAAGTACGTCTGACATTAGATGGTACTTGAATGTGTGCTGTATGAGAAAATATTGATGAGCTCAGTATTAGCCAGCAATACTTTAAACAAACTAGAAGTATTGGGAGGTGCAATTTTATGTGACTGTAACAGTGGCCCTGTTCCTGCAAACACCTTGGGATGTGTAGCAGGATAAATCTGATGGGGCTGTTCATGGGCGGAAAGTGATTCATGTGTTTACATGATCAGGGTCCAAATGTAACATTGGGAATGATTTCTGCTGTTTAAAGATGACTTTATAAAAAAATTATAATATATTCCATGCTGTGAATGTAAGGGAGTAGATGTTATGCACAGGATATGCAGTTAGTGACTGTTTTTAAATGTTTGTAAGATGTTTACATGGATGTTGACACATGCTTGTAGTGAGATTTATTATTCAGAGTACAGTGTGTGTATGTGTGCATATAATTTAAAACATTGCACTACTGCATGTGTAACCTGCCTTCTTCAACAGTTTAATTGTTGAGTGTGTTAAAGCTCTGAAACGTGCCTTTGTATTGTGCAAGAAGACAGTCCTGGAATCTTGCATCAAAATTAAATGTTCATTCTTTCATATCTGATATAATATTATTCTACATCCAAACTTTTTGTACAAATTTATAGAAATAAATTTGAGCAAAAATAGTTCATACCTTTTCTCCTGTGCCATTGCTCTCTTATGCGTCATGCAAAAGTGTCACTGGTTTCCTTACATCTGTCACTATTCTGGTTTATTTTATTTAGTCTGTGTTACAAGTGCTCCTCCCACACTCTGGGTGTATATGCATTAAGGCAATACCAACCTACAAATTAACCAGTAGTAAATTGCAAATTCTTCCCCTCTCTACTTCTCCAAAATTAAACTGTTACTTCCCCGAGATCCTTCACAAATACCAGGTTTGAAGTACAGCCCTGCAAAATGCTGAAACACTTCATAAAAACAGCCATAAGGGGTCAGATCAAAGGTCCTTCTAGCCCAGTATTCCAACAGTGGCCAATGCCAGGGGTCCCAGATGGAAGAAAAAGAACAGGAAATCATCAAGTGATCTATCCCATTGACCACTTCAGCTTCTGGCAAACAGGCTAGCCATCCTGGCTAATAGCAGTTGGAGTTGTTCTCCATGAATATATCTACTTCTTTTGTGAACTCTGTTCTAGTGTTGGCCTTCACAACTTCCTCTGGCAAAGAGTTCCATGGGTTTACTATATGTTATGGGAAGAAATACTTTTGGTATGTTTTTAAACATGCTTCCTATTAATTTCATTGGGTGACCCCCCTTGTTCTTGTGTTATGAGACAGAGTATGGTAAATAATACACGCTTATTTACTTTCTCCACGCCAGTCATGATTTTATAGACCTCTATCATATCTCCCTTTAGTCATCTCTTTTCCAATCTGAAAAGTCCCAGTGTTATTAATCTCCCCTCATATGGAAGCTGTTCCATAGCTCTAATCATTTTTGTTGCTCTTTTCCAATTCCAATATATCTTTTTTGAGATGGGGGGGAACCACATCTGCACACAGTATTCAAGTATACTATGGATTTATATAAAGACAATATGTTATTTTCTATCTTACCTGTTCCTTTCTTAATGATTACTATAACATGGTGTTAGCTTTTTTTCATGGCTGCTGAACATTTGAGTTGTTGTTTTCAGAGAATTCTCCACAATAACTTCAACTTTCTCAAGTTGGTAACATCTAATTCAGAACCCATCATTTTATATGTATAGTTGGGATTATGTTTTCCAGTGTACATTAATTTGCATTTATCCACGTCAAGTTTCATGTGCCATTTTTGTTGCCCAGGCTCACCCAGTTTTGTGAGATCCCTTTGTAGATCTTTGCAGTCTGCTTTGGACTTCACTATCCTGAATGATTATGTATCATCTGCAAATTTTGCCACCTTACTAGCTCTTTACCCTGATCCTGCTCCTGGCCCCCACCAGGGGCTCCACAGCCACCAGGCCTCCTTCCTGCTTCTCTGTACCTTGCCTTGTGAGCTGCATATGGAGCAATATATTGATATATTTGCTTTTCATCTCGTTACATAGAGAAGAAAAGATTCTGGAACCCAAGGGTCGAGTTTTTATAAGTTGACAAACTTCACAGCATTATCTAGCACCTCCTTGCAGGAGGTGAGCCTGCTTCCCTATGTGTACTGCAGTGCACCCACGTGGCATTGGGAGTGACTGCTCTGACGTGTGTCACTGTTCCACTGTTTGCCAGTCATTGGTTTTGCTCCATTCGTGCAAATGCCAATACATCATGACCAGATGATAGGCTGATTTTATGAAGCTGTCAAGTAACCAGAAAACCACCTTAGCTGCTGTTCTGGTAGGAAACAACTGGCAAAACAAATGTATTTCTGCATTGCATTCTTGTAAATATAGCAAAGCATGCCAGAAGGTGAGCTAAGCCTGCCACATCCATGGATTTGTACTGCTGCCGAGCAAAGCAGTGACGCAATTCTCTGATTTGGGTTAGAACATCATTGGCCAGGTCATTTAATTCAGTGTGATATCATGTTATTTGATAATAGCACTAAGGAACTTAATTTTTGAGCATAATGCTTACCGTGTCTACAGCAAAAAGCAGCGTTAGTTCCATTGAGATTCTTCTTTCTTCACAACCTTGTAATTCACCAAGTATAATGCTTCAAGAGCCTTAATGTTGTCAACAGCAGAGAACAAAGCTTTCTGGTTTGCCATTAACTGTGCCCACATCCACTTGGAAAATTCTGGTGGTTTGTCTGTGAGCTGTTCATGTCTTGTTTCTGAGTGCCTGCATAGAAGAGATGGTTTCAGGCTCTTTTTCAAGTTTGCCACATCTCATACCCTGCACCTGAAGGTATTTGCTCTGTCCAGTCCAAGTGCATCCCATATGGATGTACTTTTCAACATATTTACAGCTCTTTGATATAGATCCTACTTTGTCACAGGTGTAAACCTTACATTTCACAGGCGAGATCCCCATCTTGCATTAGTAGTTGTCTCACAAATGGTTTCAGCAAGTGCCCTTTGCAAGACAAATTTCATCTCTTCGCTTCTTATCACTGATCCCTTGTGTGTTCTTCTTAACACTACTTCTCTTTAGTCATTTGTCCATATTTCACTGTTACAGACAGATATGATTATAGTGCAATGTATACAACCAAAAAAACCCCCCTCAGTTTTGACCTCAGTTGGACTAGACAGTTGGTAGGTAACTGAATCCACATGGTATGGTGATCAGAGGCCAGGGCTCTGTACATGTGCATCTCTCATTGGTACATCTTAAAGTAAATTAACCACCATATTTTATACAACAAATTCTCACAGAGTTTGAAATTCTGTCTGAGTAGCCTATTGTGAAGATGTGAAAAATAAAATCCACCACTGCATTATTTCTCCCACAGAGATGTCTTGCATATCCCCAGCAGAACACATATCACAGTTTGGGAATCCTTGTGAGGTTAGACACAATGGCTACGTCTACACTGGCAGCTTCTTGTGCAAAAATTCTTCCAAAAGAGAGCGTCTGCACTGCCATGTGCTTTTGCGCAAGAACGTCCATGACAGTGTAGACACTCTCTTCCACAAGAAAGCTCTGATGGCCATTTTAACCATAGGAGCTTATTGCGCAAGAAATTCATATTGCCTGTCTACACTGCCCTCTTCTGGAAGAGCTCTTGTGCAAGAGGGCTTATTTCTTGTGGGGAGAGGAATAACTCTTCCAGAAGAAGCCCTGTTTTACAACACTATACTATAAATTTACTTCTGGAAGAATGCTTGTGCAGTGTAGACTGCCGGCAAGTTTTTGTGGCAGAACATTCGTTCTTCCACAAAAAGCTGCCAGTGTAGACATAGCCATAGTGTCTACACAGCAAAATTATTTTGGAATAATGGCTATTATTCTGAAATAACAATGTGAGGCTACGTATACACTGGCATGATTTTCCGGAAATGCTTTTAACGGAAAAGTTTTCCGTTAAAAGCATTTTCGGAAAAGCACGTCTAGGTTGGCAGGACGCTTTTCCGCAAAAGCACTTTTTGCGGAAAAGCGTCCGTGGCCAATCTAGACACGCTTAAGTTTAGTAGCTATAAATATATGGGTATCAGAGGTAGACAAGCAGGCTGTCTGGTCAGGACTTGGACTTGTCTGCACAGCGTTTTACTGCTGTCAAGCCAGGGTGTGATTCTAAGTGCAGAAGCTTGTAGAGCAGTAATGTCCGTCCTATGAGGACACTGCTACAGCACACTGAAAATCTCACAGTGGAGTTTGCTGTATTACTTCTTGAAAACATAGTAAGTCATGCCACACTCTCGGACTCTCGGGGTATGTCTACGTAGCAATGAAATTATTTTCAAAATAATTTTGAATAACAGATGGCTTATTCTGACTTCTGTAAACTTCATTCTACAAAGAATAACGCTTATTCTGAAATAGCTATTTTGAAATAAGGCATGTGAAGACGCTTCACTGCTGCTATTTCGAAATAGCTTCTCACCAGAGCCATTCTAAATTATTCCTCCTTGGGCTCTAAATCAAGATAGCATGTCTGCATTAGGGAAGCCTGCCTCAGACTAATTTTGAGGCTTCCTTGCAGTGTAGACGTGCTATTTCGAAATAAGCTATTTTGGAATGACTATTCTGGAATAGCTTAGTCTGAAATAACTGTGCAGCGTAGACATACCTTACGATGGCTCAGCCACTGGCTTCCTTCATTTTAAATCTGAATTCTGTTTCCTAGAAGACCCTTGCTATTCTTGTCTACCATGTACACACCTAGTGCACCATCCAGTAGCACTGGCAATAGGATCACCTGTTCTTCCTGGGAAGCCCCTCTTCCTTCTCACTGTGGGCTTTGAGGCCTGTCAGAATTCCTGCTACCTATGTAAGCTACAGACCTGGAACTGGGCTGTTAGTATTCATTTCTAAATTACCATTCTATGCCAGTGAGGGCAAAGGAAACATGCCCCATCGCAGCATCCTCACCTGATTCTGAGAAGCTGACCAAATACATTTCTCACAGCTTAAGCTTTCCAGCTGTCTGCAGGCAGGCTCAATTAATATACATTAAAACCAAAAGACTGCGGAGCTAGGACTTAAACCACTGCTCCTTTGCTTCCAAAGAAGACAGGCCTGTCACACTTCAGAACTCTTTTATCTGGCATTCTCTAGCAACATCACCAACTCTCACACAGTCTGTGTGCGAATGGCCTCACCATTTGGGGATTAGGACTATGGAGCTCTTGGCTTCAAACCCCAACCCTGAGGTCCAGCTGGTTCTCTGTCACTGTGTACTTGGTTCAAGAGAGATTTCATTACCCAGGCTCCAAACATAGAGGAGTCGAACTTCTGATTAATTACACTGAGATTCAAAGCAGAGAAGGGGAGCAAACAAAATGATTCCCAGGTATGAGAACTGCTTAGGAATAGTAGAATAGCTGGAGGAAAGTGCTTAACCAGCTGGCAGGGAGTCTAGTGGGAACTCAGACCAGGTATACATTAGGACGTGATGTTGAAATAGGGTCACATCTCCAGCTACATGGATAGCATAGCTGAAGTCCACGTACCTAGGTTCAAGTTACCGAGGCATCTCCACTGCAGGGAGTTGATGGGAGAAAATCTCACGTCAACTCCCCCTACTCTTGCTGGAGTCCATGG